GGACAGTGCTGGTCACCTGCCACTGCTCCCTTCCTGTGCCTGAAAAGCCTGCAGTGCTGTTAGCTGCCTTTGGAAACCTCCTTCCTGGCCCGCCCCATGCACAGCCCTGCTGGGTGCTTTATGTTTCAGAGGGGTGCAGAGGGCCCTCACAGGGAGCTACTCCCTGCAGGGTGCTCTGGGTGAGGTTGCAGCAGGGCAAATCCTTGTGTCATCAGGCTGCAGAGACCAAGTCAGAGCCAAACCAGCAGCGGTCGAATACCCCATGGCACCACCCTTCCCCAATGGGACACCCTTCTGTTTGCGAAGGGTGAGCTCCCTCACAGAGCCTCTGCCTCTGACCGGGGGAAGCAGGAGGATGCTAGCGCTGTGTTTGGCCCTGGGCTGGATCCGGCTGACCAGGCATGCTCATCCCAAACCTGCAATGGATCAGAACTGGGTTTTTGCCCCTAGTGCCGGTGATGCAAGAGGATGGTGGACCCACAGCTTACGACTGCAGCTATGGTGATGGATGTGTGCTCCCTGGCTGCTCTCGGTGCCTTGGTCTCTCTCCAGTCCCCTCCGTTTCCCTTTTGGGGAGCTGAAGAGACACCTTGGTAGCGTACTGAGAACATGAGTTTCCAGTACCGCAGCGAGGAGGGTGAAGCCCCACTGCCCTCCCTTTCCATCAGTTCATCCCTGTGTGTCTCAGCCCTGGCCCTGGGGGTCTATGCTGGGAGGTGATGCTTGGTGCCAGCTCTTCTCCCAGTGCCTGGCTCAGGAGGGGTTGAGGCTGGTGGGGACTGTGTGGGATTGGGCTGCAAAGCTTGTTGGTCCCTTCCCTTGCTACCTTGAGAGTGGGGGAGATGACCCGCTCTTGAGTTTGTCAGGATACGTCCAGGCTTTTGCTGGCTGCAGAGCTAGTTCCCTTGTCTTTCCCAATGAGCAATGCCATGACAGGAGAAACCATGTGATCCTGGTGGGTGGGATTCCCCCAAGGTCTTTCCACAGGCTCAGAAAAGCCATCCTCACTAGAGGGAGGATTGGCTGCTCCATGGTTGGTGTCTCCCTTTCCGTGGACCATTCCTTTTCAACATCTTTCAGTATGCTTGTTAGAATATTCTTTTTTAATTTTTGAATGATTCAAATTATTTTAGTTTAACGAATTTATTTTCCCTTTTGAGGAAATATTCAACTGACTTGTTGGCAGCAGTTAGCTGTCTTGTTTGAATTTTTAGTAGTGGGCTTGTTTTTTTGTTGGTTGTGGTTTTGTTTAGGTTTTGTTTTTGTTGTTGTTTTTTTTTTTTAATTTGTACTCTAACTGCTTAGTATTTATGCCTCTCTTGCTCCCCATCTTAGTTCAGCATCTTCTGTTCCAGCTCTGGGCTTCAAAGGGTCAGCATAGCTGACCAGATGGCAGTTAGTCCCTCCCAGCTGTGGTGGAGCTTGGTCCATCACTATTTGCTGTTTGTTTGTTTATGTTTTTGGGTTTTTTTGAGTGGCACACTGTAGCAAATCTCCAGGAACTGATTTCCTTCTCAAATGATTTTGTATGTTTTATAAAATCCTGTTAGTATGCACTGAGAGTGAACGCACTGTAACGTCCTGAACTGACCCTGGCACGGGTGCTGGCACCACGGTAGGAGTCACCAGCTCGCCCTTGAGAAGACACGTGCGACCTGCTGTGGCTCCGTCAACGAGCCTCTGTTTTCCAGTGTTATTGGCACACTCGGGGCTGCAAACGGTAGAACCAGGCCTTACTTTCTGAATCAGATTCTGTTCTGTTTGTCAACAGATGCTCATGAACGTGCTACTTAATTTCGTTACGTGAGTCAGTCGAGGACTGTTCATCCCTTGAGTACTCTAGAAGTATGTTATACCTGTACACGGTAGAGAGCATTCTGCTTAGATATTTATAAACCATTGCGTATAATGTACATAGTAAGGTTGTTTAGTATGTTGAACATGACCTGCTTTTTATTTTGTGTGTGTGTTTCCTTTGAAGTACTCAAAGGGCTAGCTCTGAATGTCACCTCTCTGATCTCCAGTGTTCTGACTTCAACAAGCTGTACAATCATTTTGTTTTCAGCAAGCATAAAGGTCTCTCTGGCTACAGATCACAGTGTCCACGCACGCTTGCAGAGAAAGATCTGCATGCTGGCAGTGCCTCACCGCACCGGTGAAGCTTGTGTTCATGTTCTCCCGGCAGTAGCCACTTACTGCAGCTGCCTTTTTTTTTCCTTGCTGCCCAGTATACAGGGCTTCAATTTTTCGTACCTTAAAAAAAAAGAAAGAAAAGAAAAAAAAAATTGTATTTTTTTTTTTTGCCAACCATGCTTTAAAAGTCTGAATGGGAGAAGACTCTCAGCAGACAGCAGCTCCTGGCTGCAAAGTTGCCGAAATCTCAGATGTGGATGTTTTTTTCTGCCATTGGCTGCACCAGTGCTCCGTGGGCATGGGCAAATACCAGATCCATCCGCCCCACAGGTCTACGTACTGTAGTTCTCATGTAGTGCAGAAATACCGAGGCATGTGGCTTTCTTAAGGTACACTATGTGTGCTTGCCTGGATTACAATACAATACAAGACTGTCTTTTTTATTGCTTATTACCAGCTTACCGATAACCTGTATGAGTAATGTAACTCGCATCTCTGTCATCAAAACCTTTTCTCCCCACCCCTTTATTTATCAAGCATAATATTACATATTAAGGGACAGAAAAATAGACCTTTGTAGTATACAGCAGGACGTTGCTAACAATGTTTTAAGTGGGAAGTAAAAACTGCTCTGAAAAATGCCAGCCATGAGAAATGACTTTGTTGGCACCGTGTTCATGCGCATGTATTTTTTTCTATTTTTTCTGCTTTCGTCATGTTACATCCATATCTGTATTTATATCTTATTTGTTTCACTTTTGAGTGTATCATGGCAATTGTACAGATGTTTTTTGTTAACATTTATGTGATAGAATTTGCTAAAAAAAAAAATAAAATAAAACCTTTTGAGTTTGCCCTAGAGTAAGTGGAAGTTGGGTTTCTTTTTGGGGGGAGAAATATTAAATTAGATTCATTATCCAACACAGCTCCTCACTCCAGCAGCCTTTGCTTGGAAGGGATTTGCTCTCATTCCTGCCCTGGCTGCTGTGTTTTCACGTGTTAATTAGAGGGTGTGTGGTGGGCTGGCTGTTTCCTGTGAGTGACAGTGGGGCCAGTGGGCAACTGATCTTTTGGGGTGCTGGTCTTTTGCTGTCGGCTTTTAAAAGCTTTTGGGCAGTCTGTGATTTTTTTTAGGGAATTCTTCTGAAACTGGAGAGGCGGATGCTGTTTGAAAACTGATGGTCTCGTGCAGAGTCACGTAACTCAAGGAGCAAGGGCTTCAGAAGATGCTGGTGTTATGAGGCTTGGTAAGAGAATTGCAGAGGGTTTAAAATACGTGGCAGTAGAAATTTGGGTAATGAAGTCTTCGGGGAGGTGAAGGGGTGCTGGGAACTGCACAGGTCCCAGGGAGTCAGGGGAGCACAGGAGGTTCAGATTTCCTATGGGAGGCTTTTGGTGTGAATATTCCCAGGCAGAGGAGTGCATGGTGAGTGTTATGGGGTGTCAGCATCAGCATTCAGGATGCGGAGCATCTGGCCATGCTGGATGAAGCATTGCTAGTTAAACTGTCCCCTCTCTGTCCTCCTGCAAGAGTATTATTTTATCAGTCCTTTTTACTTTCCAGCTAGTTACTGAGCTAGAACAAGTTTGACAATTTTTGGGGGAAGTTTCAGACAAGTGGTAGTTTTGTTTAGCTGCAGACCCTTCACAGCCTCAGCAGCCCTCACTGGTGTCTCCTTTGTCCTGACACTAATGGCTGCCACCAAGTCCTGCCCATGCCAGCCCAGGGACCCTTCTGCATCAAGATTCAGGGGCCCAGCTGGGAGCAAGGAGCAGCGATTGCTCTCCCTGCTGCAAATGGACCATCTTGCCCCTGTGGTGGCAGGGTCTTTTTTGACTCTGCTGCATGTCAGAGCAGTACAAGGGAAGGTCCAGCCTTGCCCAGTGGCCCTGGATTCTTCCCGGAGCACTTCCCACATGTCTTTTCTTGAGCAGTGCCAGGTACCTGTGGTTATAAGAAAGAGAAGAGAATGAATAGAGCACTATCTCGTCTGTGCC